TTAAACTCATTGTCTGCATATTCTCTTGATCCATCCCCTTTTACACCCACTCTGGTTTTTCCCCTGATCCCTCGCTCTGTGGAAACTGCTCTTTCATGGCCATCAGTGACCCCACATTGCTAAATATAGTGGTCAGTTTTTAGTCTTCATCATGCGTGGCCCTTTGGCAACATTTGACCCAGCTCTTCCATCCCTCCTCCCCTGTGTTCCTGCTTTACTTGGCCTCCAGCCCATCGCTCTGCTTTCAATCCACTGGCTGGTCTTTTGCCAATGTGTCCTCTTTTTTCCAAACATTTACTGTGAATGTGCCCTGGAGTTGGGTCCTGGATCTCTCCTCTATCTCTCTGCTATAACTTTGGTGGAAGCAACCAGACTTGGAAATTGACATGCTATCAATTTCTCGATTTGTCCAAAACTCCCTGATTTGCCTTTTCCATTTGGAACTCTCTCCCTGATACTCATATTCTTTTTCTTTCATCTTGCTTTCACATTCATATATGTGTTCTACTACATAAATTACTTTTCCAAATTTTGAATCAGTCCATACATATCATGTAAAATGCTCAGATCTCTATTATTTCCACTAAGATGCCTATTGCAACTTAGAACCTTTCTGCATTTCTGTATTTATGTCAATAAAGTGAATAGTATTTCTACAAGCCTCATAGTTAAACAGTGTGTTTGTTTGGGGCTTTATGTAACATGAAATAATGATACATCAACAGAGTCCTTTTTCATTTATTTTTATGTAACACCGAGATGAGGTTTTTGCACTGAGGACTGATTTTATTGAAATTTTACCTACGTTATGGACAGTCAGTTTATGTGAAAGCGCTAATTTCTCCCCTTTTCTGATATATTTTCCATTTGACTATATATGACATATATCTTGGCATGAAATAAAATTCCAAATTCATTCACATAATACAATTAATACATTTCAATTATATTTTTTAATGTTAAAAAGAAAGAAAAAAAAACCCAGACTCCTCTATCTATTAGGCATTTCTGTGGCAATACCTAATAGACCCATTAACCATGACATTAAAGAACTGAGCTGATTCCAGCCCCTTTCCACCTGCTCAGCCCCATCTTGTCCCATCCCCTGTGGATGGAGATGACATCCCTCCCATTGTCCAGGTCCAGATGTTGGAACCATGTTCTTTCTCTCTCTTTCCCTTACACACACACACACACACACACACACACACACACACACACACACACACACACACACTCACACAGCGAATCCAGCTTGTTAGAAAATTCTGGCTACTCTGTCTTCATTAAACACCTACTCCCTGCTCCCTGCCCTCCTAGGAGCCACCTTCAGCCCCTTCTTGGACACCAAATAGCCTCCTTCTTCCATCTTTGCTTTTCTACAATCTCATCCACACAGAGTCAGGGGGAGCCTGTAAAAGCATACATTGAGGGGGTGGGTGTAGCTCAGTGGTAGAGCGCATGCTTAGCACACATGAGATCCTGGGTTCAATCTCCAGCACCTTCACTAAAATAAATAAATTAAACTCCCCC